ATATATATTAGGGGTGCAACGATACAGAAAATTCACAATTCGGTTCGGTTAGATACTTTAGTCTCATGATTTGATATTTTTTCGTAACAAATAGCTGAAATGTCCATGCCCTTTTAAACTTGCAATTTATTGAAATTACTTATGAACATTTGTATAACCTCAAAAGTACCGTTTTTAAATTAAATTTAAACTTAAATTTAGCTGAAACAGCAAGTTTCTCAGTGGAACGGGTCAGCCTGTTCCTGATACCCCGGGTAGTATTGTGAAGTTCTTGAGGGTACCTGTGTTTTCCTGAGTCCTCCGAGTATCCAGAGTGTCCTGAGTCTCCTGAGTCCGAGTATTCAGAGTCTCCTGTTCCAGTCTTGGTTCCTGAGCTGGCGGTCCCAGTGTCTCCTGAGTTGGCGAGTCCTGAGTCGTGGTCTTAGAGGTTCGTGAGTTGGCTGCCGGCGTCTCCACAACATCTGGGTCAGCTGCCGTTGCCTCCTCTTCACCTGGGTCGTCGCCCATTGTCTCCTCGTCCCCTCTTTCGACAGCACCTCCTGAGTTCCTCGTCATGGCCGGRTCCACGGTCGCCCTCCTGAGCTCCTGCCTCACCTGTGTTGGTTCCTTGGGCGTCCACCTGAACTGTGGCCCTGCGCCTAGGGTCATCTTTGTACATTTTTGTTTTGGTTGTTTTTTCTTGATTTTTCCCAGGAAAATGTCTGTTTTTGGTTTAGTTTTTCGTCTTTTCTTCCCTGTGCTCCTTGTCCTGTCTTTTTGAGTCTCGTTTTCTTCTGTTGTCTCTTGCCCGCCGTCCTGTTTTGTTTGTTTGTACCCCACACCTCCCTCCCGTGCTTGTGTTTTTTTTTAATCATCTGGAGACGATTCTTTGAAGGAGGGTACTGTGAGGTTTTGGGTTTTTGTGTGTGTTATTCTTGTTGTCTTGTACCTCCCTCTTGTGTACTCTTCGTGACATTACTTCTTTACCTCAGCTTCACCTTTCCCCAGATCTTTCCCTCACACCTGAATTCTCTTGTAATTAGCTCAGCTGTTTCCAACTTTCACTCATCCCTGTTTGTATAAATTCTGCTCATTTTCTCTCCACCTCCATCTGTTCATTGTTTGGTTATCCGCCCTGGTTTCCCTCTGTTTTTCTCCTGAGTTTGTAAGTTCCTGTTTTGGCCGCCATCTCGGCTTATTTCTTTAATAAATACTTCTACTTTGAACCTGCCTGCCTGCCTGCCTGCATTTGGGTCCTAATCTGCCTGCCAGACCTGACAAAAACAAATAAAAAATAGCTAAAACAGACCAAGGATTCCAGGTTCAGATTAGACTGGCACATCTTAGTGATTAACACGTACTGTATTTCATGCTGAATGTATTTTAGCATAAATATACAGAGGTTAGACAAAGAAAATGAAACACCTGTCATTTTAGTGTGGGAGGTTTCRTGGTTAAATTGGACCAATGGTGGTCAGTCTTCATTAACTGCWCATTGCACCAGTAAGAGCARAGTGTGAAGGKTCARTTAGCAGGGTAAGAGCACAGTTAGGCTCMAAATATTACAATGTACACAACATTATGGTGACATACCAGAGTTAAAAGAGGACAAATTGTTGGTGCACGTCTTGCTGGAGCATCTGTGACCAAGACAGCAAGTCTTTGTGATGGATCAAGAGCCACAGTATMCAGGGTAATGTCAGCATACCACCAAGAAGGACCAACCACATCCAACAGGATGCAACAGGAAGCTGTCTGAAAGGGATGTTCTGGTCTAAAACCAGCTGTWTCATTGTCTAACCCCTGTATGATGGTGGGCAGGGCTGTACTTCAGCTCAGCTTAAAAACAGAGTTGAAACTTGATCTGTTTATAAAACCTGAGTTTATGAGATTTACAATTCATTGTTTTTGTTTTCTTTGTTTTAGAGAATCAATGTCCCAACTTTGTGGAGCTGGGTTTGTATTTCTCCTCTGAATTATCAAACTGTGTCTGTTTTCAGAACCAAAGCCAACATGAAGAYGTCAAAGAGAGGACGACTGTTTGTCTGGGACAAAAGACTGGAATAACAGGAGGTGGTTCAGTTTTATGATGGCAGGAAGAAACGTCTCTCCACCTCCTCCAGGTCTGTGCTGCTCCAGCTCCACAGTCCCAGACTCTTCTGGAGTCAGCAGCAGGACATCAGCTGAGAGACACCAAGAGACAAGAAGACCAGCTTCATGTTTTAGGAGTACTGCCAGAAGGATCAGGACTGCTTTGACCAGGATATGCAGGATATGCAGACATGATTCTCCTCCTCCACCTCTGGGAGGGAGTCTTGGGTGTTACACTGGCTTAAGGAGGTCAACTGGTCTAGGTCTAAGGACTAAGGTCCTCACAGAGATGGGCTCCAGAGAAGAAGAGTTAGGTGAAGCTGTGAGGGTCTCCCCTCAACCTYACCTCCAAGCCTCAGGTTCTGGTTCCAGTAGAACCCACAGTGGACTTCCTCGTCCCCTCCGCTGTCCCTCAGCTCCTCAGGAACCTTCTGCCAACCTGAAGCTGCAGAGCAGAGCTGGAAGCTTACCCAACCTGAAGCTGCAGAGCAGNCCAACCTGAAGCTGCAGAGCAGAGCTGGAAGCTTACCCAACCTGAAGCTGCAGAGCAGCTTTCAGGAGTTCACACCTGACTTCACTGACGATGATGAAGGTGGTGAAGTCTACAGGTTCCACTGCTCTGGTCCAGGCCTGTACCAGTGCCGAGAGACGGGCCTGGTGTTTGACATGAAGGCAGCAGGAGACGTGTCCTACAGGACAGTCCCCTGGGACAGAAGAGCCCTGAGCCAGCATCACAAGAAGCCTGCAGGACCTCTGTTTGACATCACATGTCCTCAGCTGTCTGTGGCTCAGCTTCATCTTCCTCACTGTGAGCTCCGCTCCACACGTGCAGAGGACCACCTGCCAGGTGCAGAGGACCACCTGCCAGATGCAGAGGACCACCTGCCAGGTGCAGAGGACCACCTGCCAGGTGCAGAGGACCACCTGTTAGCTGCAGAGGACCACCTGCCACGTGCAGAGGACCACCTGCCACGTGCAGAGGACCACCTGCCACGTGCAGAGGACCACCTGC